TTTCGGTGCGCGCAAGTAGTTATTTTATCTTTAGTTTTCTGTTTCGTTTTCTTATAAATTTTTCTTTGCCGTTTTTTTGTGCTTTTGTTTTTTGTTTTTGTTTTTCTCTTGCTATAGTCTGCTCTTTGTGCCATACGGTTTTTGTCACATGGTTACTGTCTCCTCTTTATACTTTCGCGCTCTGCGCATTAAACTCAGTTGGAAGTTGGCACTCGTGTCTTTCGTGTCCTTCTTGTTTCTGTGTCGTCGTTTTATTCTCGTGCTATAACTATCGTCGTTCTACTAAGGTCCTCTTGTCGCCTTTCACCCTCGCTTTGATTGCTATTATTGCTTCTGTACATAAAATTTAAATCCGAGTCCCTGTGATTATCCCGTGCTGTGAATTTTATGCTAGGGTGTCCCGTACCTGGAGGTTACTTGTGCTTGTAACGCCGTTTGCTTTGCCTCCTCCCACCCAAGAACTACTTCGCGTAAGCTGGGTCTTGTGACATTTTAACCATTGAGCCTATTTTTTTCCGAATCTGTTTTTCCTTTCTTCTCCGCAGTTCTGGGCGCCAGTACCCTACCGTTCTTGCCATCGGCTGCTTTTTTGTTAGTATTACCCACCTCGCTAGTGCCTCCTCGGCTGACCTAAGCCTTTCTTCCATAGCCCTCGTTTTTTCTTCGCTCTGTCTCCATTCCAGCTCAGCGATTCTCATCAACAGTTCACTCTTGGCAACCATTATTTTCCCCATTTTTTCCCATTGGCCTCCCATTATCTACACTTGGATTCAGCCTCCTGTGCATTCATGTTCGAACTAGCCGGTATGTTCAAACCCGCCCCACACCCTGAGCATTTTACCGTGCATTTAACCATGTCTTTTTGACACCAATTCACAAGTGTCTGAGTATAGCTGAATTGTCCCACTCAATAATTAGAAAACGCGGCGAATAAAGAACACTACCCCAAGGAAAAAAAGTCTAGGCTCTAGTACAAAAATTTACTTGGTCGGTGTACGCCCCTCCAACGAGTTAGCAGGAGAAAAAAAAACATTTGATCAAGAAAAATGGCAGGAGACTGACTCCCCGAAAAGACATACACTGTAATTAGTGCTGTAAAGGTCTACCCTGCTGCCTTAATAACTATTAAAAGTAAGCTCAATTCTTGCAAAAGCACTTGTCTGCGCAGCCGATTCGGGGCCCATACAAAACACGTCCATCATCGAGATGAGAAATATAGAGGCGTTCGAGATATCCTCCTTTCTGAAGATGCGTATGGGGGAAAACTGGGCTAATCGTCATTGTTGACTCATATAGCCCTCCTAAAATGACACATCATTTTATTGTTTCATAGCTTACGGGTATTCATAAAGTGTTCAACCGAAGCAAACTTAGCTCTAAATAAATTAATGCCGTACTTAAATCAATATTGTGATGTAAAAAGTAATTTTGCCTGATTAGTGTGGAAGGCTTCGAATAGCCGACATACATCTACACCCAACGTCTTTCACAGAGAGAGCACCCGAATTATAATCGGCTCCTTTTTTGTTATCTGTATTTTGGTTGTTTTGGTAACAGAATGAAAATATCAGTCTCGTATTTATTTACAGTATTCTCGACTGCATCCAAATATGAGGGTTTCCCATAAGTCAGAATGGTGTCTTTGTATCAGTTGAGGTGCACTACTGAAGAAAGAAAAAGTGCATATTGTCACGTCCTTTTAGAGGTCCAGGCGTGGTTTATTGGGCGTAGGGGTAAACCAGCAAGACTATTGCCAGACACATCGCTTGGACTCACTGCTATGCAACGCGCAATGTCGCATACCAGGTACAAGAAAATCTGAACGCATGTTTATTCTTCTTGAAAAAAAAAACAAAAGCTATTGATGCTCGTTTTCACGTTGCCGTGCATACCAACTGACCCCGTAACACTCACAATGCGAATGAGCAAGCGTTTGCACTATGATCACTGCGTTGCTGTAGTCACATCAGCGCGTATAAGAATTACTAAAACGGCGCTACAGTGCACAGCAGCACTAGTGTCATGAAAAGAGAGAAAAAGGAACACGTGTAATCTATCGAGTGTAACCCGTGAGTGCAGAACGCGCCACTCTTCAGACTTCACTTTCGGATCGGGCAATTCTTTTTTTTTATTCTTGGCCCATGCCCTCGATAGCCCGCAAACATTGAAGTATAGTAACTTTTCAGCGTATGTGAATTTCTTGCAGAGCTATCTCACTTAGAGGCGTGGCGCATATCTACTGCAAAAAAAAAAAAACCATTTAGGGGTATATAACTCCTAGCACTGACTTTGCCTATAGTACTCCTTCATCCGACATTTCTCATAGAGCGCGAGGTTATGTGAAAACACGAAACTATTTTTTCCGCGGCACCCCATCGCGTGGCAGCCTTTTATATCAGCGGTAGGAGCACCGCTGTGCGGAGAAAAGTGTGGGCAGCAACCACTTCTGGAAACACGCTCTCTCCGTGCGATTGGAATGACCGAAGATAAATACGCCGCAAGTGGGCCATCTTGGAGGTCACGTTTTGCGCGCAGCCAATTTTGAAAGAACAATACTCTTAGAATAAAGCCACAGCTTTGGCGCAAAAGCGATGCAATGATCGCGATAGTAATAAATTCGGAGGTCCCGCGCAGAATGGCAAGCAGACCGAAACGTGCCCCGTGTTTTTCACGCAATAATGAAGCATAAGACGTACTCACAGATACAAATGCACGCAAATAGGTGTCCCAGTTGTTCATCTTCAACAGAATATGGGCGCGCACACACCTATAGACCACTAGAACAGGAAATTACTTCCCTATGCCTGAAAAGCGCGCGCTTTTCGCAAATGGTGACTTCAGTGATTGCAGTGACCTTTGTGCACCCAGAAACTACAAAATAATCGTTCCGGGTAAAGCCCGAGACCAGCCAAGACGTACTATCCACCCCTCACCCCCACCACGACATAAGGGCGCGTGAGGAAACGTCGCTCTCCTTCCTTGAATGGGGCAAAGTACGCGTGCGGTATTAAAGCGGGTGCTGCCGCCAGATTTGGCGACGCGCGCTCATTGTGCCATCTTTCTGGTAATGTTGAAACACCCCTCCGCCCTTCAGCAGGGGTAAGTGGTAGATATAAATAGCCAGTCGTTTGAACGTTAAAGGCCGTGCTCCTCTGTGCCACAGTTGTGAACGCCTCACATTCACTATTGAAATGACTGAATGTTGATTTCATACGACAGTCTTTTTCTGTATTTTTTCTTCTTTCTTGCATTTTCGCATATATAGATACGTATACATATACGGTAAGTGACTGCAATCCCCACACTGGCGGCAAAATCCAGCCGAGATTAGCGTTTTAATTGCTATCGCAATAAAAATGGAGTATTCGAGGAGTAGTTCTACTACGCAATAATAACCGTCATCTGACTTGCTCGGGTTTCCGTACTTGAAAACTCGGCGCTGGCAACTTTCCTGTCGGAATTGTTATGTTACACTAGTAACGCGTGCGCCATTCGCGACTGCGAACTACTACTCCGCCGTGGTGGTCTAGTGGCTAAGGTAATCAGCTACTCTCCCGCATGCCGTGGGATCAGATCCCGGCTGTGGCGGCTGCCTTTTCGATGAAGGCGAAAATGCTGTATGCCCATGTGTTGAGATTTGGGTGCTCGTTAAAGAACCCAAGGTGGTAGAAATTCCCGCAGCCCTCCACTACGACGTCTCTCAATCATATGGTGGTTTTGGGACGTTGAACCCCACAAATCAATTATTAATCGACTGCGAAACACTGATTGATACTGTAGTGCTTTAAGGCACTGTGTCACATCACGACGACGGCTTCACACTTTAGGGAAGCCAAATGCATAATCAAAAGTTTGCTTCATTTAGGTGTACTTTATTAGAGCTGAACTTAATCCGCTTGAGCTTACCTCACAATAATATCGCAGTTTATTTTTCACAGCAATTAATTATTCGTACAGTTGCACGCGATTTGAAAGTTATCGCACGAGCGTCGACATGTATAACATCCCAGGAGCCTTGTGGCACATATAGGTACTGTGAAAATTAAGATTGATCATTCACCTCCCCTTCGTTGACTATCAGTGCCTATAAGTGCCGCCACGCTCCTGAAATATTGTTCGTGAGCTCTTATCTCTGCTAGCGATTACGAAATTGTTGAGAAAGATGTTTTGAATGTGGTGGTTGACACAGCTTCGTTTATTCAGCTTCTAAGACGAGAGTGATCGTAGCTTAAGAAAGAACAGAAAGAGTGAATGAATCTTGTGTGATACCACCCTTTCCTCGAAAGAGTACTCGGAGACGTGCCGCAGTTGTAGTCCTTGGTTGAAGCTCGTGCGATAATCTTCCTATTTCAGGCGACTGTACGTAACATGCAAACGTAACGTTGTAAACAACTAAACTTTTATGCCAATGTGCATTTACTGAAACGAAACTTTGCTACTGTTTCAACCGCGGCTGATCATCACTGCGACACTTTGGGCTACAGCTTTAGACGAGAAAAGTACACAAATTAGGACCACTGTTTCAACCGCGGCTGATCATCACTGCGACACTTTGGGCTACAGCTTTGGAGGAGAAAATTACACAAATTAGGACACTTGTATTGAAGGTGGTAAATTCTCAAAAGCTTTACGAACCTCGAGAGATTTCTAAAAACGGACGGACGCACCGAATCGCTGGAGAAGCTATGGGTAAAACTATCACATGAATGCATTCGTATGATGAAGGCCTAACTGTATATACTCAAAAACGAGGAGTCCTAGACCAATCTGTAAATTTTTCGGCTGTTGGGCAGCGACCCTTGCATAGGTTCTTTCCCCCAATTGTTTCATCCCGCTCCTTCTCATTTTGTTCATCTAGAAAAGTTAGGCTGTACCATCAGAAAAATGAATGTTAAATAGATTTTAAAGGCTTTGAGGGAGGCAAGGAGGCCTTCTGTGTTAAATGTGTGTACATGTTTGTGTGTGCTTCTCAAGAGAGCGTGAACTGCAGCTATTCTTACTGTCCCGTTCGAAGGTGAGAATGATGTCCATGGCCAGCTGTAGCGCCGTGTTGGGCAGCACGCAGCAGAGGAGTCGGACAGCGAAGGTCATCTCGACGAAAAGAAGGTACGGAAGGAAGGATACGAGCACCGCGAAGCATGTAGCCAGCACGACCAGCGTCTCTGAGGTGAAGAACGTGGTGACGAGCGTCACGAAGGTGAGCATCTGCAGCGCGTACGTGTAGAGCAGTGCGAGCAAGACGGTGGGGTCCGTGTACTGCAGATAGGAAAAGCCGAACCGGTCCGGCATGCTGGTCACCACAAAGAGAAGCCCGCAACAGGAGGCCAGCATTGGTCCGAGGCCACGCAGCAGCACCTGCGATCGCAGGCGCGTGAATGTTTCTCCTTAAGGGAAGGAAAAAGAAAGGAAAAAATACCGCCCCTATCTTCTTACGAAAAGAACATGAGAGAATGCGTCGTAGAGGAAGGAGGGCGGGTGTGTATGGCGTGAATGTTGCGTGATTGGGTATGGTCTGGGAATGCTTAATTGTTTTATCATCTTTATTATCTTCATTATTTGACTGAAGGAGAAGCATTGCCTTAAACTTCAAGCGAACGCCAAGTAATGATGCCCTTGACTTAATTCGTAATGCGCGATCCAGTGTCTACATATACGAGTGGCCAGTGAACGGTTGTGCCGCGCGAGCAGTCGTTTGTAGGGATGAAGCTCCTCAAGCCGTGGGTCGTGCATTCTCGATGTGTGTAGTATTAGTAGGCAGCGAGCTCTCGTTTAGTCTTCGTAATGTCCGCTGCGTGGCGGTACTTCTATAATATGAATATATGATGAAAAGATACGTGCTGACGGTACTTGCAGTGTTGAATATATAGACAGACGGACAGACACAGATAGGCAAGACAGATGGACGGACGTACAAACAAACAGGCAGACAGACAGATGGATAGACGTGCGGATGGACAGACAGACACACCGACGGACGGATGGGTGGACAGACAGACAGACAGACAGACAGACAGACAGACAGACAGACAGACAGGGCGGACGGACGTGGCCAGCGGACGATTCACGGTTTACCAATAAAAACCTCCAAAGCTTCACCCCACTTATCATCATTTACTCCGTGGATATGCTGTATTTTTTACTAGCAGATGCTGCCTGCATCGGCTTTGTAAGGCGAGAGAGGGAAAGGTGAGCGACAGTTCTGCGGATGTCTTCCCAGGCTGACATGGGACGCGAGCATGCGGCACGAGACGCGAGACGTGTTCATGCACAGCGGGAGTGTGGATGGCGCCACAACCGACGCCGAAGCATGGCATCGTGGGACTAAGAAATGCTCCGCATCTATAGGTCTTGTAGCAACGCCCCCTTCTCCCCCTCAGTCACCTGAGAATGAACGAAAGTCCGAAATGAAGCGATGACATGCTTTCATCGCAGTAATGGTCTGTCTCCCTATTGTCCGTGCTAGTCGTGTGGAAAGATGAGAAGTAAAGAGCTGTGAGAATCCCTCAGGTGTCATTGACCCCCGTATCATCAAATTCTATAGTGCCATAACCCTAGTATTTCTACAATCACGGGAAGGTCCAGCTGGGTAAACGCATGGGGCCGACTTCACGTCCCCTCTTAGGTAAATATAACCTAATGTTACAAGCAACAGCACTTAGGCTGTTGTTTTGTTGGAGAGGGGGAAAAATGCAAGGGGAGGTATTGTCAACGTGTGCATCTAATGAACTGCCCATTTCGGTGGCCGCTAATTAGCTGAAACTTGACAGACTCTACGACCCCTTTATCCGTTTCTTTTCACACATCGTCATTTTGACTTCATAAGTCTTTGGAAACTTTCGAGTGAAGGGAAAGGGACAGAATGCACTTCAACACAACAAACGCCGCTTCTAGAAATACGTTTTTGGCCACGGTAGTCAGCGAGGCCATACATGAAACTTCATGGTCACGTTAGCCCCGGTATTAAGTTTACTGTGACTACCCATGTATTACATCTGTGAAGGTGAATACGCACTCTCTGCATCGTTCTCAGGCGTCTTACACACACGCTCGTATGCTAGGTTAGAGTAGTCAAGTTTGCTTGTCGTCGTACTCTACAGCACGGGCTGCTGTTTGAAGAAACATACGAGCTCTTGGTCGGCGAGCCGCGTGGCGCTAACTGGTCGCCAATTGTGCAAATGCGGTGCATGCGCATAGACGCATAATGGCAGCACTCGGTCAGTTTAGTTACACTGCACTCGTGTTTCGTTTCCTATTTCTCCGCCTGTGCGCATGAAACGTTGCAAAACGCTTCAGTATTCTTGCGGTGCATCTCAACGCAAGAATACTTCTGGTGAGCGAACGCTGAACAGCGAGGGCCGGGCAAGGAGGGACCGATTATGGTCTCGTTTGCGGCATGCTAATAGATTGCTCGCCGGACTCAGGACCATGTCGTGCTGCGGGCAAATTCCACAAAGCACATCCGGCGCACGGGTGATGGTTTCCAAACGTGAGAGCACCAGGTTATCACGCGAAATCAATCACGCGACACGTATACAGTGTTAAAAGAAAGGCGGCGCACAAAAAGACAGAGACAAAGAAGAGAACCACACACAGTGCTGTTGTGGTTCTCTTTTTTGTCTCTGTCTTTTTGTGCGCCACCTTTCTTTTAATATGAATATACACCAACTCGCCCAACTTTCTATTGTGTTACGTATACAGTGTCAATGCGAAAGAGGGAGTGATAACGGAGGAGGTTGACTACGCGTTGAGGATGTTGTGGTTACTTTAAATGAGCGCTGCTACTTTCCAAGTCATCAGGCTTTCCTACACCGAGAGGGTGGGAGGGAGCCCGGGCAAAGTTCGTAACGCCATCTCTCGGGCTCTTGCGAAGCAGAACATTATCGGGAAGCAGAGTCCCCGAGTTCGCTCACCTAAACTATTCTTGAACCGTGGCTGCAACTAATTAGTCACTATGCCTGAAGCTCATCGAGTTCCCAGTAAGCGCGTGAAATGTGTGGTTTTGTTCATAACAACATTTCATTCACAAACTATCTTCTTTAAGCCTGTCATATTTCTCACTCACTGCGCGTAGCAACTGTCTGCTTTCAGGGGCGAAGCTTCCTCAAGCGGCACCCGTTCGTCCCTCGTCGTAGTACGTAACCAGTCTTACGTTTTGACCTTCAAGGTGGTGCTGGTGTGAGTTTTCTCCAGTGTGTTGTTGAACAATAAAACATTCGCAGCGTGCACGTTAACTAAAAGCGGAATTCTCCTGTCTCTCATTCGCCATTAGCAGTTATTGGGATGTACATTGAGCACTATCTGACAAGAAAGGGTTGCTAGGTTACACTCGCTGGGCGTAAACTCCTTGGTTTAGAAAAAATTAGCGAGCGTTGGGCCGCAGTGTCACGAACACAGGGATCTGTATCAATTTATGTGTATCGATTTATGTACATGAGAACTTGAAATACGTTATTGTCAAAGAGTACACTGTAGTATCGCTGCATTTTGAATTTGTTATGATTAAGTGTCAAAGCATTTTAATGGCTGCTATATACAGACCCCCTTCAGGAACTATGTCTAATTTCTTGGATTTCGTTGATGAAATGCTTGAATACTGTGAACAAATAGCGCACGCGTAATTATTACAGGAGATTTTAACATAGATATGCTGTCTTCAGCAGCAATAAACAAAACTTTCTCGACCAAATGCTTTCCTTTGGTTACGAAAATACAATTCATATAGCTACCAGGGTGACGCAGTTTACAGAAACTGCATTGGACTTATGCTTTACTAACTGTAAAACTGAGATTTACACAGGTGTTCTGACACCTGGAGTGAGCGATCAACTGCCAATTTTAGCATTTCTTACCTGGGCAGTTAAACAACGAAGTCCAGTAAACCCTCACTATTATCAGAAAATTAACCAAGAAAGCATTGAGGTTTTCCAAAAAGTTGTTGCAGAAACGAACTGGAATTGTATTTTCGATAACACTGACCCTGTGAGCGCCTACGACATATTCATAGCAAAAGTAGCAGAGCTTTATGACCTAGCCTTTCTGATTGTTAACATATAAAAAAAGCAAGTAGGCACAAAAGCCACGGATTCATGCTACATTTCTAAAAAGGATGAGAGAAAGAGATAAGTTGTTCACTGAATTTGTAAATACTAAACGCTTAGACTACTTAATTGAGTTCAAGCAGGTCAAAAATAAGCTAGTGTCTGATAATAAAAAGGCGCGAATTAGCTACTACGAAAATAAGTTTGCAAATATACTCGGCGAGCAAAAAGCTATTTGGAACACTGTGAACGATCTTCAGCAAAGCAAGAATGCTAAGAGCACTTCTGAACTTCAAGTAGAGGGCAGATCTTGTTCCGGTACTGTACTTGCTGATATGTTCAATGACCATTTTTTTAAGATTAGGAGCTTTTGATAATAAAAGTGATGCTTCCCGGTCTTATAAGTCGTATCTTCAATTCAATTCAATTCAATTTTATTTTCCAGTTTATACATACTGGATGGTTGCGTTGGGTTAAAAGCTACATAAGTAGCTTGACGAGACCCAACGACCAGACTATACAGGGCAGTAACAACAAGCAGTCCGTTGCAGTGACGAGAAAACCAACAAGTAAAACAGGATACCATATCGTATGTACATATACAGCGATTTACATGGATTTCCAGCATGAAGATTGCAGAAAGAAAATGTGAAAATAAATACAAGTGCACAAAAGTGCTAGAAAAAATAATAAAAAGTGCTACATACAATAAAATACGGCTATAGCATAAGTAATAAACATAAATAATAATAACACAGAATAATAACACCGTAACAATGTAGCAATACTAGCTATTCGGGACAGAATAAAAGAAAAACACTGGCCATATAACACAGCAAGAAATTCATGTAAGCAGAAGACTATGTTAAAGAAGCAACATAGGTTACGCACAATTCAATGTTACAATGTTACAATTCAATGTTACACAATGTTACAGCATGCATCTCGGAATACATTTTCCTTACGCCCACAACTGAATCAGAAGTGGCCTTACTGATAAAAAATTTAAATTATAGCTCTGCTGTTGCTTTTGACGTTATAAAGGCTGAACCTTTAAGAGCAGTTCCAGAGCATATTAGTGCATGTTTTGCCCATATATGCAATCTTATCTTGAGCACTGGAACGTTCCCCGACAAACTAAATGTAACTAAAGTATCTGTCATACACAAAGGTGGTGATGAAAATGACAGGAGTAATTATAGGCCCATTTCTGTTTTGCCCATTTTTTCGAAAATTGTAAAACGTGTCATATATATACGAATTGCAAATTTCTGTAGCTCAAAGAAAGTTATAACAGAACATCAGTATGGATTCCAG